ATTACACTTCATCTGAATATTAAACTATTGCAGGGTAGAGAAATGAATGTGCCTATAAGACATTTGCAGATATTTCCTACAATTGTATGACATCAGGCCAAAGCTTTTAGGCAGCAAGAAACAATCCTAATACGATCACAGATAACTTTCTAGTAACAACGATGTTTTCCCAAAAATAGTAGAAACACTAATGGCTAAAATAAAGCTTAGGAAATAGTGGGCTATGGAAAAAGTGCTATTTTAAAAAATTCTAATTCTGGTCTTTATGTAATTTATCTGAGCACAGTATTCAGATATACTAGAACAGTGGTGGCGAACCTATGGCACACGTGCCAGAGGCGGCACTCAGAGTCCTCCCTGTGGGCACACGTGCCGCTGCTGCCAGCAGCTTGCGCAGGCCTGTTAGGCCGCTGCCCGGAGGGGCAGCCCCACCCAGCACAAAGGAGACGAAGCGGCCAGCTAGAACAGCTCAAATAGAGGTGGTAGAGCACGCCCACACCCAGCAAGCCAAAGGCCACTCCGAGCAGGGAAAGCCAGATCCCCATCGGTGCCATGCCCCCCCTAGTCCCAGCTAGGATTGCGTGCCTCCCCCATCTATGCTGGGCCTCCTGCCCACTGCCCCACCCGCCAGAGACTCCCTGGATCTCCCCCAACCCTGCCCGGCCCCACAGGCGTTCCCCCCCCATGAGCAACATCAAGGTGGCCATGCCCGCCCCAGCCATGCCCACCCAGTCTGCCGCGACAACCGCAGCTATGCCCACCCAGTGGGCCACGCCCACCCAGTGTGTCACGCCCCCATGCCCCCCCCTGAGGACACCACAATGCTAATGCAGTCCTGGCACTTTGTGATAAATAAGTGGGTTTTGGGTTGTGGTTTGGGCACTCGGTCTCTAAAAGGTTCGCCATTACTGTACTAGAACTTCTAACTTGCAGTGCTGGTCTGTTCATTGATTCATCAACATTCATTTATCTTAACTAGCTATACCCGGTCACGCGTTGCTGTGGCTCAGTCTGGTAAAAGCGTGTGTTGCTTTTATGTCCAACAGATGGTGCTGTTTTTGTAAAAAAGCATGTTTTACCTGTCACAAGTGTGACATCTATATAATATAGGTATATAAAAACATGCGCGTATTCGAATGCAACGTTGTGTCAAAATTTCAAAGCAATCGGTGTAGAACTTTCAGAGATTTAAGATTTTGAACAAACAAACATTTACATTTTTAGTTATTATTTATTTATTTATTTATTTATTAATTGCATTTATATCCCGCCCTTCTCCTTACGGACTCAGGGCGGCTGACAATTGAATAAAATACTAACATATATACATATTATCCCTAATTAAAATTTAATTAAAACAAAATATTTAAATATGTCCAATTAAAAGTAATTAAAACCTGCTGAAGGAATTTGGCCTTTGTGCCTCTACTGAGTAACAAGACTTCGTTTTCCTTTCTCTTATTGGATATTGCATTATATCAGGGTAAAATAGCGGGAGGGACAAACTAGAATCCCTCACGCACTTGACATACTGAATAAACCATCTGAAGAGCTATAGTTTATTAGCCATATTTGTCTGCATGAGGAATTGCAGAGTTTGAATAGAACAGCATCTTCTGCTCATTGCTAAAGTGTCATTAACAGACCGCTTTCTCTTTCTTAAACAAGAGTATTTTCTCCTGTTATTTGGTGGGTCCTCTGCCAAATGTCATATGTATCTAATTTTCATTTTTTTATTTTCTCTTTCTCATAATGAAATTCTTGTGTAGCATAAAGATATACTATAAAAAGATAAAATATACTACATATAATGTTGTGGGTCTGTTTCATATTGTTTTTATGAATGGTCATGCCAACAATTTGGATAACCGATGTGTAACTGACAATGTAATTCAATACTTATAGGTTCTCTAAGAGCGCCCCCCACCTCATCTGGAGCATCTGCATCAACATCTGGAACATTAATCCCTTCTGGACAACCTGCCTGTAGCCAGCTTGGACAAGGAGATGTACGAAATGGGATACCTGCTTCTACAGTTCCCTTGCAAAGGTATTTAAGAAAAGACTACTCAGGACTTGAACCTGGTATTTGTGGGACAGGAACACAGAAAATATGGCATTGCATTTTGCTACATTTTTGCCCGTAAGTTCTAGATTTGCCTATATACAGTGCTTGTGGAGATTCCCTATCCCTTGAAAGATGATGGGGAAATTGGAAGCAAGCATTTTCTGCAGGAACTCTTGTGCAACAATCACTGATGAGATAAAAGTTTGGTACTCTCACTCTTGACATTTAAGAAGTTCTGGATGATCCAAAGAGCATCTGAGGCACTCGAGGGAGAGATTGCATTTATAATGAATAGTGGTGCTGCTAGTATAAACACGAATTGGAATTATTCATGCCATACTCATTGGTTTTATAGTCTAGTGTTTTATTGGGTTTTTTTATATAGTGTTTCGTATTTTTAAGAATGTGCAACGTTAGCTGTATGATAGAAGCTGCAAAAAGCACTCCCTAAATCAATACATAAAATTTCCCCTTTATGTGAAGCTGCTAAAGAATAAACTTAAAATGTGAATGGGCATATCCTCTGATTGAGAAAGGATTCTAATAGTCTTAAATTACACCTAGGCCAGGGGTAGGCAACCTTGGCTCTTTTATGACTTGTGGACTTCAACTCTCAGAATTCCTGAGCCATCATGGGGGAACTATGGTCCCCCTCATGACTCGTGGACTTCAACTCCCAGAATTCCTGAGCCAGCATGGCTTAACTTGGAAACCTCTCCCTTTCCCCTCAGCATGGCTGGCTCTGGAATTCTGGGAGTTGAAGTCCACGAGTCATAAAAGCCAAGGTTGCCTACCCCTGGCCTAGGCCCTTAATAAATTGGCCCTTTAAAATATGCTTCTTTATACTTGTGCATATTTTAGCTTAAGTTCCTCCTGGAAAAAAATGGCTATGATCTCTGGCAGCTTTTTTTCCGTCTAGTGTGCATATACTTAAAACTAAATCCCTTTGAGTTTAGTGAGGCCTATGCTCACTTAAGCACGTATGAGACGATGGATCTCCGCTTTTCATGTTTCTTGGTCTTATTTTCCCCATCTTCTTAGATGTTTTCATTACTTCCTCATTTAATTTTCTCATCCTTCCCATGATCCTTTTCCATCTGTTATAGCCAGATTCTGTTCCTCACGATGCATGATAATTCAAGTGCAGACGTGTGCTGTGGTCTAGAAGTGGAATTTATTATTCTCTTGAGTGGAGATTATGACTCTGCACCCAGCTGCCGTTCAGGGCTCTTTAGATTAAAAGGAACAGCTTGGCTTTTTTTTTTTTGCCATCCCCTTAGACCAGGGGTAGGCAACCTTGGCTGTTTTATGACTCGTGGACTTCAACTCCCAGAATTCCTGAGCCGGCATGGCTCAGCTTGGAAACCTCTCCCTTTCCCCTCAGCATGGCTGGCTCTGGAATTCTGGGAGTTGAAGTCCACGAATCATAAAATTAAAACCGAATGAGAAACTATGAGGAGGTATTGAAGAAATGAAATCCATTTTTTTCATTTGAAATATTATTTGGGAGGAATATTATTCATTCTCACAGATCTGCCATTTTACTGAAATCTATTAGGTTCTTTTCTGAGTTGTGAGCCTGTCAGTTCAAAGTCTGTATATATAGGTGTTTTTTGTTTTTTTAATTGCAAGCCACCCAGAATCATTTTGGATTTGAGTGGTCTTTAAATATAAATAATAATAATAATAATAATGTGCACTATTTGAATCTGGCATGGTTGTCTTCATTGCGTCTGTCAGAACCCAGAGCTTTCTGATCCCAAGAAAAGGTGTGGCTTTTTTAAGGAACTGCCAATAGGTACTCTAAGTCAGGGCTTTTCAACCTTTTCACCCATTGTACCACTTTTAGGATATGGCAACATCCAAGTACCACCAAAAGGATGACCCCTCCCAAAAGGAAAAAAGTGATAAAGTACAGGTAGTCCTGGACTTACAACAGTTTGCTTAGTGACTGTTCGAAGTTACAATGGCACTGAAAAAAGTGCCCCGCCCCAAGCCACAGCTGAGCAAGACACCTGCCTGCCCACCCGGCCGCGCTCTTCCTCCTGTCCGAGGTTTTCATTGTTGTGAGCATTTCTGTTGAGGATTGGCAGCGGGGGTGGGGTGGTTTTTGGTTTTTATTCCCCCGTCTGCTGGGTGGTTGCAGCAGGTTTTGGTCACTTCACATGACCCTGGGACACTGTGACCGTCATAAATATGAATCAGTTGCCAAGCATCTGAATGTAAATCACAAGACCCTGGAGATGCTGCAACATTCCAGCTGATCGGCGCTTCTTCTGGGCTCAGCAGAAGCACCAGGATCAGCACTGAGCTCCAGCTGGAGCCTGGCGCTGATCCTGGCGCTTCCACTGAGCCCTGACAGCCCCGAAGAAGCGCTGATCAGCTGGAAAGGGGCACTGATCCTGGCGCTTTCGCTGAGCCCTGACAGCCCTTCAGCTCCAGCCGTCTCTCGCTCAGGCTTGTGCGGTGCTGCCACCGGTTCAGCTCATTCCCCCCCCCCACTACTTTTCTAAGATGGTCGCGTACCACCTGCCAGGTGCCAATGTACCACAGGTGGTACCCGTACCACTGGTTGAAAAGCCCTGCTCTAAGTGTGCCCCTACCAAACCTATTTGTACATACGAAAGGTGTGCAGTACAGTACATGGATCTATGTATTGCGCAACTTTTATATGTACAAATATAATTGACATTGTCTGAAAAGACAGATTATTTCCTTCTAGTTAAGTTCTCTCTGAAAGCCATTTCCTGAAATCTAGATCCAAATTTAAAACACTTTAGATCAGCAGCCCCCAACATTTCAACCTTGGTGGCCCAGCCCGGCATGTGTGCAAGTGGTAGGCGCAAGTACACACGCACAACTCCATTGGTGCACGCGCCCTCCACTCACACAAATGGAGCTTTGCATGTGAGCGGAGGGCACTTGCACTCACTTGTGGAGCTTCGCTCACACTAGCAGCAAGCACTTGCCCTTGTGTGTAAAGCTCCATTCGCGTGACTAAAGCTTTGCACGTGAGCGCCCTCCACTCGTGCAAGTAGAGCTTTGTGCACAAGTGCAAGTGTCCTCCACTTAAGTGCTCTCCGCTTGCATGAGTGGAGCTTTGCGCACAAGCGCAAGGATCCATGGCTTGCGCAAGTGGAGCTTCCCACACACACTTGCCTATCACTCCTGCAGCCCGGTTTGAAACAGTCCGTGACCCCGTAGTGGGCCGTGACCTGGGGTTGGGGATCCCTGCCTTAAATGTAAGCACTTTAAAAGTCATTTCTATAATGGCCCCTTGTGCTTTATCTTATCCATTGTCCATACATAATATTGTCAGAAAGTGACAAAGTATAAAATTATTCAAACCTCCGGTGGTGTGATCACTTTCTGAACTGAAAAAGAGTTTTAGGTCCACCACAATCCAAGAATTGCAAGTATTTGTCTCTTTCCAGGGCTAAGTATAAGCAATAATGTAGTGCCAGAGGTGGCACTTAGAGCCCTCTCTGTGGGTACTCACGCCATTGCCCCAGACCAGGGTTAAGCAACCAAGGCTCTTTTATGACTCATGGACTTCAACTCCCAGAATTCCTGAGCCAGCCACGCTGAGGGGAAAGGGAGAGGTTTCTAGGCTGAGCCATGCTGGTTCAGGAATTCTGGGAGTTGAAGTCCACGAGTCATAAAAGAGCCAAGGTTGCCTGCCCCAGACCCACCTCCCCCGCCCGTGGCCCCCTCCTCACCAGCAGTCGCCCCCGAGCACAGCCGGCGCGGAGCAACGCAGCCAAGGACATGGCAGCCGAGCAGCAGGGACAAGACTCTGCCCTTGTGCCCCGTCGCGTGCAGATGATGCTGCGGGGCTTGGGTGGAGGGCATGGCCGCCATGGCGCTGCTGGGCCACCTGGGCAATCTGTGGCGGGCCGTGGAGGCAGTGAGTGGCCCTGCGGGCAGGCGGGAGCGGAACAGGAATGGAGCGGGGACAGGCGGGGCTGGGTTTTGGGCACTCGGTTTCTAAAAGGTTCGCCATCACTGATGTAGACTAAGTGATCTCTATTCATAAATTAGACATCTAATTAATGTCTTCATTCTCTTCCCTCCAGAACCTCTGCTTCTCAACAGTTCGTGGCGGGCACAGCACCTCCTTCTATGGCTCACCCTCCCGCTTTCCAGCAATACGGACTGCCTCCAACTAGCACCCAACAGCTGGCCAATCAGATGGCAGAAATGCAGATAGGCAGGGGATCATCCTCTATTCCATCCCCAGCTGGACTGAACTATGGTGAGAAATGTAACATTGGCCTGTGGCAGGTGGTCTGGTTTGGGAATTTCTTCAGGAAAAATGATCCTCCTAAACATACACATTTGTTGTTGTTAATTGCAAAGTTATGTCCGACCCATCGCGACCCCCTGGACAACGTTCCTCCAGGCCTTCCTATCCTCTACCATCTTCTGGAGTCCATTTAAGCTCACGCCTACTGCTTCAGTGACTCCATCCAGCCACCTCATTCTCTGTCGTCCCCTTCTTCTTCTATTGCCCTCAATCTTTCCCAGCATTAGGCTCTTCTCCAGTGAGTCCTTCCTTCTCATTAGGTGGCCAAAGTATTTGAGTTTCAGCTTCAGGAAAACATACATATACTCAGTGGCTTTTCATATTATAAATACCATGAAGAGACAAGTATCCTGCAATATTACAATATTACAAATCACTGAACAGCTAAGGAGTGATTGGCATTGGGGAGAGATGCCAAGACTACAATTTGGAAAATCAAATCAACATCCCAGAAGGCCATCACCAACCACGTTCCTGTGGTTGCCAAGAAAATGACATGGGCAAGGCTTGAATTCAGCCAGATTTGACCTTGATTTGAACTAGACATTGTCTGCTGGTTTTCTAGATTACAATAAAATTACATTTTTAAAGCCATTCAAGGCACCTTCCATCTTAAATGGAAGCAGACATTTCTGCTAATATACTATGATGTATCTGTAGCGCAAACCTGAGCATTTTATGTCCAGCTCTGGCCCTTTGACTATCCCTGTCTGGCCCAGAAGAGCAGCAGCAGACCTCCATAAGGGTCCCAGTTTCTCATGTGGCCCCCTGTGAAAATTAATTGCTCGCCCCTGCTCTAGAGTTTAAAATCCCATCCGCGCCAGTGTATATGGTATGTGCGCACACACCAATTTTTAAGGTGCTCTCCTTCCCTCCGATCCTTGAGCCTGGAAAGGTTGGAGACCTCTGGCCTATTTGAATAGATCTGGACTTTATTGGCATTATTGCCATCCTTGATTTTCACTCCAGTTCAACTTTAGGGGCTGTTCCCTAGTGCAAACGCTTCTTTTATATTAAAGCTTGGGTAATTGAGGTAAATCAGTAGGGATTCATCTGTACTACATTATCTTTGTTATCAAATGAAAATACATCTATGTGTGTAATGAAAGTAACTCTAGCACAGGAAATCAGTCAAGTCATTTGTTAAGGAACATCACAAAATTCAGTCATCAATATATGTTAACCAAGGAAATGGAACTAGTTATTAAATTTTGTTTGATGTATCTCCTCCTCAGGTCCTCCAACATCAGTTATGCCTGCCTCAGGAAGTTTTATTGCCCCTGGATCTGGGCAATATGTGTCACATTCAGGCCAAGGTCCACCACCTCCTAATGTTTCTCATGGATTGCCTCCTACCACCTTGCCTCAGGGATCGGGTCCCTCGGCCCTGCATACTTCCTCTCAACCCCCATTTGCTCCCCCACCTTCAACTGCTGGGGTTGGAGTATCCAGTTATCCTCCCGCTACGGGGATTTCAAGGCCTCCCACAATGCAGGGTGCATTGTTGCCTGGACCACCAATGACTGGGCTGCTGACTTCCCAGCCAAATCATGTGACCTCACCACCACCTCAGCCACTTATGACAGGACCGCTTCCTAGGCCACCAGTAACAGGACTGCAGGGACCGCCTCCTGTCCATCCTTCACAACCAGGATACACGCTGCAGCAAAATGGTACGCTGTAAAAAAAATGACCTGTGCATTGGTCCCTACTTTACATCTAAGGAAAGGTCAATGGACTGTATCCAAACACTAGTGAGACAGGCTTATATTCATGTGGATGGGTGAGCTTCTCCCTATACCAGTGGTGGCGAACCTATGGCACGCGTGCCAGAGGCGGCACTCAGAGCCCTCTCTGTGGGCACGCGCGCCATGCCCCGGAGATGGCAACCGTCCCTCTTCAACCAGCCGCCCGCTAACTCGTCGAGGTCCCACGTGGCCGGATGCATCCCAGCAAGGCTGGTTTCCCTCCCCCCCTGCCCCATCCCTCCTGGCCTTGCATGCTCTCCTTTTCCCGGGCACGACCCACTGCATCGCCTCCTCAGCTGTCAGCCATATGTCCAGCTCAGAGGTGGCTTCTCTGAACTTCTGGTGGCGGGCTGCGGAGCCCCAGAGTGCGCCAGTCGAGGGGCCGGCAGGCTGTGGCTGCTGACGGACACTGTTGGCCCCCATGTGCTCACTGGCCTCTGTGTGCGGGGGCTGGTGGTATCAGGCAGCAGCAGCAGCCCCAGCCCCTGCCTCGCCTTGCCCTACGACAATGGCACCCCCGCCTTGCCTCGCCTCACCCTGCAGGACGAGCCTCCTGCCCACTGCCCCACCTGCCAGAGACCCCTTGGATCTCCCCGAACCCTGCCCGGCCCCCACAGGCATCCCCATGAGCAATATCGAGGTGACCACGCCTATTTTGGCCACACCCACCCAGTCTGCCATGACCACCACAGCCATGCCCATTCAGTGGGCCACGTCCACCTGGCACCCGGTGATAAATAAGTGGGTTTTGGGTTGCAGTTTTGGCACTCGGTCTTTTACAGGTTCGCCATCACTGCCCTATACTTTTTCTCCTGCAGCGTTTGATTCAGAGGCTCCTCTTAACCCTGTGAATTGGATGTGAACTGATGGATGGGGTGGTGTTTGTTAGAATCTTAGTATTTGATTTGAGTTGTATGATAGATACTGGTATCTGGGGGTTTTTTTTCCTCTAAGCTGCTGAATAATAATGTCATATCATAAAATATCCATTTATTCATTATCTAAATCTAAGAAAAACAATTCCCAGTGTAGTATTTCTACTTTCTCTAGATCTTTCAGTAGCATTTTTTCATATGACTTTTTTCCTCTGCCAATTTTGAAAACTATATATAAAAAAAAATGGCATTTCGATCACTAATGTTTTTTCCTACATTAAGATACGATAGATGTTTCCATATATAAATTAATTTGCTTCCGAGCATAATGAACAGTGAATTAGTGGTTATTTTCATAGCTGCTAATTGCTGCCCTTGCAATATTTTTTTAACAATTGAGAACCATACTTTAAAAAAAAAAAAAAGTTCAAATCTTATGTGTGTTAAATGTAATTAATCCCAGATGTGAAACTTCTAAAACAGGAACGTAATACCTTTCAACAAAAAGCACAGTGGGATGAATCCTAAGAAAGGGAGTCTTATTTGTCATCTCATTAAAATTAATAGGTTAAACTTAATGCTGTTTGCTTGCTGAAATATGTGAAGCTCTGATAATATATAGTGATAAATATGAAAAAGTTCAGAAAATCCGGATAGAAGCAAATATTCTAACAAAAGAACTTTTTCAGTATTTTCTGCTGCTTTATTCTTTAGAATGTGTGGGAGATTCTCTATGCCGCTTTTCTGATCCAGTCTGAAATTCCAATTTTACAAAGCTTTTCTGTGGAAATATTATCAAGCTGTATTAAGGTAATTAACATACTGGAGGGATTTTTAAATTTCAGAGACGATCCTGAAAAGCATTATTCAATTAGGGTTTATTTTAGGATTCTAAGTAAAATTGTCCGCATTGAAGCTTTGAGTGGTATAATCAGAATCTGAGTTTAGTCAAAGCAGTTGAGAGGTTAATATTAATCTGGACCCTTCAAATTCTGCTATGCGTTCAAATAAAGGTATATTGTGTATATTTATCGTGGTTTTTATTATCGCCTGTTCACCGCCCTGAGTCCCGTAAGGGAGATAAGGCGGTATATAAATTCAATAAATAAATAAAAATAAATAAATAAATCTCTGTATCTTTTTTTTTTCCAGGTTCTTTTGGGCAAAATAGGGGAACTCAACCAATGTATGGTGCAGCTTTCCCCGGACCAGCAAATTATGGAAGTCAGCCTGCAGCACCACCACCACCACCTCTGCCCAAAAGACTTGACCCAGACTCTATTCCTAGCCCAGTAAGTGAGGCAGATCACGTTTAGGATTTAACATCCTTTTGTAGAAAGGGATGTGGGAGGGAGAACAAGACTCTTGGTTCCTCTGCGTTTGCTTAATTCATAGTCATTTTCTACAGCCAAAGGGCATTTTTTGCGCATTACTTTTTGCATCCCTCTTGGCGTCCTAACTGCTTCCAGAGCTGGGCTTCTAAAGAAATACTATATTGATTAGATTATCACAAATTAGCCTACAGCCTTTCCTGTGGTCCTACCAGAGCTGAAAAAGGGTTATAGGAACTAGTGTGAACGCTCGTGTTTAATCCATGTTTGTTTACATGAATAATCTTGATAGCTTAGACCAGGGGTAGGCAACCGTGGCTCTTTTATGACTGGTGGACTTCAACTCCCAGAATTCCTGAGCCAGCCATGTTGAGGGGAAAGGGAGAGGTTTCCATGCTGAGCCATGCTGGCCCAGGAATTCTGGGAGTTGAAGTCCATGAGTTATGAAGGGGCTGTAGTTCCCCCATGCTGGCTCAGGAATTCTGGAAGTTGAAGTCCACAAGTCATGAAGGGGCCAAAGTTTCCCTCATGCTAGCTCAGGAATTCTGGGAGTTGAAGTCCACAAGTCATAAAAGAGCCAAGGTTGCCTACCCCTGGCTTAGACCCAGGGGGAGGCAACCTTGGTTCTTTTATGACTCGTGGACTTCAACTCCCAGAATTCCTGAGCCGGCATGTCTCAGCATGGAAACCTCTCCCTTTCTCCTCAGCGTGGCTGGCTCAGGAATTCTGGGAGTTGAAGTCCACGAGTCATAAAAGAGCCAAGGTTGCCTACCCCTGGCTTAGACTGATTCTTTGAATCTGTGGAAAGCATATTTGAAAGAGGGGCCAGTAATCAGACTAGGCATGTGATTGGCTGTTTCACAGTTACTAAAGTGAGGCATACTGACATTAATCTGCTTTTTAGGGGGGCCCTGGCTAGCATGCAGCATGTTGTAAACCTACAGTGCTGTGGGCTGGATTCTAAGAATCTGTGACCAGATTCAGAGGACCCAAATCCTTCATATCACTACAAGCTTATCTCTCCAGAACAATGAATGTTACGATGCTATTCTGGGTTTTGTTACTATCCAGTGGTAGTTGCAGTGGCTCTCCCCAGTGTACCTGAAAATGCCTTTTCAGTTGCAATGCCAACTTAGCTGGTGAAAAGAAGTACAGCCTTCTACATTTTAAGGCCAACAAGAAAGTGGTTAGCAGCTCTGCTTCCTTTTCTGCTTTTCCTCTAAAGCAGGGCTTTTCAACCTTTTCACCCATTTTACCACTTTTAGGATATGGCAACATCCGAGTACCACCAGTCGCCTAGCAAGGTGTCAAAAACTTGATGACCCAAAAAAAAAAAAAAAGTGATAAAGTACAGGTAGTCCTCGACTTACAACAGTTCGCTTAGTGACTGTTCGAAGTTACAATGGCACTGAAAAAAGTGCCCCCCCAAGCCACAGCCGAGGAAAACACCTGCCTGCCCGCTCGGTGGGGCTCTTCCTCCTGTCCGAGGTTTCCATTGTTGTGAGCATTTCTGTTGAGGATTGGCAGCGGGAGTGGGGTGGGGGGTGTTTGGTTTTTATTCCCTCAATCTGCTGGGTGGTTGCAGCAGGTTTTGGTCACGTCACATGACCCTGGGACACTGTGACTGTCATAAATATGAATCAGTTGCCAAGCATCTGAATGTAAATCACAAGACCCTGGAGAGGCTGCAACATTCCAGCTGATCGGCGCTTCTTCTGGGCTCAGCAGAAGCACCAAGATCAGCGCTGAGCTCCAGCTGGAGCCTGGCGCTGATCCTGGCGCTTCCACCGAGCCCTGACAGTCCCGAAGAAGCACTGATTCTGGCACTTCCTCTGAGCCCTGATAGCCCTGGAGCTCCAGCCATCTCTCGCTCAGGCTTGTGCGGTGCTGCCACCGGTTCAACTCATTCCCCTCCCCCGCTACCACCTTTCTAGGATGGTCACGTACCACCTGCCAGGTGCCAATGTACCACAGGTGGTACCCGTACCACTGGTTGAAAAGCCCTGCTCTAAAGGACTTGAGCGCATACCTCAGTCTGTAATTCTCCTGAAAACACTTAAGCACGAGCATTGCTAACTCCCTCTTAATGTACTTTCCCGGAAGAGCAAGATATGGAGATAAAAATGTGAAAACGTAACCCAAGTGTTATTCCCCTTCTTTGCATGAAGACTGTCCCGATGAATACATTTAACAGTGGTAGAAGTGAAGACAAAGACAGGATAACACTTGCTTGGTACTTTTTATTTTACTACTCTCTCTCTCTCTTCCCCTTTTTTTGTGGCAATTTTACTTCTTTTTTTTTTTCCTTTTAAACAAAACAAAAAAAAAGCAACTCAATGAGCTGCCACCTCAGCAGAAAGCCAGGCACAGAATAGATCCTGATGCAATTCCTAGCCCAGTAAGTGCGTTGTCTCTCTCTCTGTCTGCTCTTGTCTGCATGTCAGTGGCTGCCTATGTGTATCCGCAAAATAACTCCCCTTGTTAACCACCCTGGTGTTAGTCCCATCACCTCTCCTCTTCCTCTGTTTCTGCTCACATTTCGATAAACAGAATAAAACACCCACCCGTGTTGAAATCATCTGTACATCAAAAATGAAAGGGGCAATAAGAAGCTTGGCATTTAAAACCGCAAAAAGATAAGCCGGTTATATATTTTTCCTTCCAGCAAATAACCGCTGGAGAAATCATTACATACTTAGCGTATGCTTAGGATGAATGTTTAGGGATAAATTGGACATGTGATGCATTCAATATACCTGCTGTGGCATGAATTTTAACAGCTACCTTTTTAATTAATTCATTTTAATTAAGCAGCAGGTCAGTTCCTATCATTGTTTTCATGAGCACAAAGAATGTCACTTGCCTATTGCTCCTATATTGTTTTGTCTTGGGAACTTGGCTGAATTTGGTCACAACACATAAAATAGATTGGTGATGTTACCAACTTCGCTTAATTTTTTTACAGCTGGAACAAAACAAAAATAAGTCTTCCTTGGTGTGGTCACTTCAACTTTCTGTGCCGTCTCTTTATAAATGTGTTTCAGATTAAGGGAAACTGTCATTTTCACCATAAGAGATATTGTTCAAAATATTTGAAATCTATAGGGAAAGGAGGTTGAATCATTCCAGTTAAAAAAAGGTGAATACCATGCTAATATTTACAAGCAGTTGAATTGGATCATAAATCAAAAGGTTCCATTTCGATTGTTTTGGATAACATTATAAGTAATAGATTTAAGAATAGAATTAAGTAAAATATTGCATCACCAGTTTAACTTATCTTGCTCTCCGTTGAATGATTAGGAGTAAAATCAGTATCAGGTGGTACCAACTAATTATAATAATAATAGTAAAGTTGGAAGGGACCTTGGAGGTCATCAAGTCCAACCCCCTGCTCAGGCAGGTAACCCTATACCATTTCGGACAAATGGTTGTCCAGTCTCTTCTTAAAAACTTCCAGTGTTGGAGCATTCACCGCTTCTGGAGGCAGGTTGTTCCAGTAATTATTATCACTGCTCTTCTTAACCTAGAATAAAATTTTGGAATAGCTTTAGTGGAGCCGAATTTCAAGACAAGGAATAGTATTGGTGAAGCAGGATACCTGATAACCAAAAAGGTCGTTGTTTTGAAAAATCTGGCATAAGATTTTTCAGAAACACTTTTCAGAAGTATGCAACAAAAACATGGATTCTTTTTCAGGGATTGGATTGCTGCATCCAAAATACATAGAATCTATCTAGGTCTGTAGCAGGGAAGGAAGCAGATGGAAGAAAACTAGGATACAAATTAATTTTGAACTTGTCTTTTCTCTGACAACTAGTTTCTCTAGATGATTATTTTAGTTTCAAGGATCACTTCTTCTGGTTTAGGGTAGCCTAAGCATATCTCGGTGAGAGCCGATTTCTTTTCACATTTTTTTACATAATGTCTTTTTATTGATTATCATCCAACTTGAAACTCCTAAGGCAGTATATTTAAATACACAGAGAGAGTAAGAGCGAGAGAGAAAACACCTGATAAACAAAAATGCTATTGTAATGCTCCAGCATAAAATTCTCAGCTGTAACTTTGACTGTCCAGTTGCCAAAATAAAAAGGTGTAAACAATGACTTAATAAACTTTATAGACAACATATCTTGAAGTCGACATTGCAAAATATATAATTTATGAGCTACACCACTAATTTTGGACCGTTGATTTCAAACCTAGCAAAAGAAGCAGAAGGGTAAAATGGATATCCTCCTTTAGGGATTAAAAATGTGTTAAGTTATATTATCACAACCTTTGCTAAAACTTTCGTAGTGCTAACGTGTTGCTTCCCATTTTAGATTCAGGTCATTGAAGATGACAGGAATAACCATGGGTCAGAACCATTCATCACAGAAGCACGTGGGCAAGTCCCACCTCTTGTTACTACAAATTTCTTGGTGAAAGATCAAGGTAAAATAGCAATCACGAAGGCAAGGATAACTTAACTCGCCATCAAAAAAAGAAACTTGTATAGCTGTTTAGCATAAACACTTGGATTAAATTAGTTACGTTATACAGTGAAGAACTGCAGTTTTTCCGTTCAGAATTTCATTATGCATTCATATTGGGCTCTTCAGCCACGGAGTTTGCCATGCTGTATTTCCATACTAAATTTCTGAATACTGTTATATAAAATAATATACATACAGTAGCTACAAAAGAATAGAGGAGGTCAGATCTTAAGCCTGGAATTAATGATAAGCAGTTAAGTTGGTCCTATTCAGGTTTGGCTGCTAAGAATTCTATGATAGATAGATAGATAGATAGATAGATAGATAGATAGATAGATAGATAGATAGATAGATAGATAGATAGATAGATAGATAGATAGATAGATAGATAGATGATAGATAGATAGATAGATAGATAGATAGATAGATAGATAGATAGATAGATAGATAGATAGATATGCCCTTTAAAAACAAAACAATTAGAGACATCAAGTGGACCAATGACTAGATCGAAAAGCCGGGCGCAAAGCCGGCCGGTAACATAAAGAGAACTCCCATTAACTTGCTTTTATGCTCTGATGATGTCGGCAGTGCTGGCCGACGAAAGCTCAGCATTTATATTAAACAGCTTTTAGTTTGATATTATCCTGGTGTTTGAATTTATTTTTAGTGCAGATATAGAAGTAGATAGATAGATAGATAGATAGATAGATAGATAGATAGATAGATAGATAGATAGATAGATTGATTGATTGATTGATTGATTGATTGATTGATTGATTGATTGATTGATTGATTGATTGATTGATTGACGTTAATAAATCTATTGAAGAATATATAGGTAAAATTTTGATTTCTTCTTTTAAAGGTAATACAAGTCCCCGCTACATAAGATGTACTTCTTATAATATTCCCTGCACTTCAGATATGGCTAAACAATCTCAAGTTCCTCTTGCTGCAGTCATAAAACCGTTGGCTGCACTTCCCACAGAAGAGGTAAGATTGATAGCCTGAATCATCAGATAAAAGAGCAACATATTATTACAAGATAATGGACCCCGGGTGAAGAAAACCTTCCCTTGAGTTTTTTTTTATTTACTCAGTTTTTTTTATTTACTCCGTCCCAAGAGTTAACTTTGATGCTTTGCTCTACAGACAGAAGGAATTACATACTCTGGACGTGAATACTAAGAGGAGGATGCAGAAAACACGCTCTTTGATATCGTGTGTTGGAAAAGAAAGGGGAAATGTAAACAGTGCCAATATCCAGTATTTTTTTTTCTTTCCAGGCCCCTCCTTATCTGGTGGACCATGGGGAATCGGGTCCCATTCGGTGCAATAGGTGTAAGGCGTACATGTGCCCCTTCATGCAGTTCATTGAAGGAGGAAGACGATTCCAGTGCTGCTTCTGCAACTGTGTTACTGAGGGTAAGAGCTTCCTATCAAAAGGAACCTTGTAGAGGGTGAGGGCAGTCTGCTGCCAAGCAGGAATTCCACCTGGGGAATCATCATGGGAAAACTCAAGAACAGATTTATATTTAGCTGTACCCAGCCACGTGTTGCTCTGGCTCAGTCTGGTAAAAGCGTGTGTTGCTTTTACGTCCAACAGATGGTGCTGTTTTTCAAAAAAGCATGTTTTTACCTGTCACAGTGTGACATCTATATAATATAGGTATATAAAAACACACGCGTATTCGAATGCAACGTAGTGTCAAAATTTCAAAGCAGTCGGTGAAGAACTTTCGGAGATTTAAGATTTTGAACAAACGAACATTTACATTTTTATTTATATAGATGATGAAAGCTATACATCATCCTCTTGCGCTAAATATTGGGCAGTTGCTTACAATTGGGCTGAGGAATTTGCCTTTATTGAAATGAAACATGCAATATGCAGAAAATCTTATTTTTAAAAATGCGTATTCAGCTTTCTCTCAAAAAATGAGAAAACGATTACATTAAGCCTCTCCGCTATTAACATTTGTGCAAAAATTGTAATGCAAGAACGATAAATCCAAAATAAAAGGCAATATGTTTGTGTTTTTTGCTGGAAGACAATGCTATTTGGAAATTAAATTTTTATGGCATAGGACAGGGGTAGGGAATTTTGGCTCTTTTATGACTCCGTGGACTTTAACTCCCAGAATTCCTGAGCCAGCCATGCTGAGGGGAAACGGAGAGGTTTCCAAGCTGAGCCATGCTGGCTCGGGAATTCTGGGAGTTGAAGTCCACGAGTCATAAAAGAGCCAAGCTTGCCTACCCCGGGCATAGGAAAATTACTATTCATTACTGATTGGCTGCAGGGTCTATTAACATGTCTTAGAATGTAGGTAGCTAACTCACCCAGAAATCTAAAAATTGATCTGTAGCCATGATCTATGAATTGTAGCCACGAACTATGAAAACAAAACGTCCAAAATCCATAGGTGGGTAATATCTTTACAACAGGGGTGTCAAACTCAATTTCATTGAGGGCCACATCAGCATTGCAGTTACCCTCAGGGGGCCGGGTGGGTGTGGCCAGGGTGGGTGCGGCCTACTGGGTGAGCATGGCTGGAGTGGGTGTGGCCTACTGGGTGGGCATGGCCAGCTCTACATCGTTCGCGTCAAGGGTGCCTGTGGGGGCCTGGGCAGGAGTGGGACAGATCTGAGGGTCTCTGGCAGAAGGGGGTGGGACCAGGGCAAGTGCCAAGGCATGATCCACTGGAGGAGCCTCACTGTTCCTCTCAGGCCATGCGGGGGGGGGGGCTTGTGGAACTAAGACTGAATGCGTTTCAGCATAGATGGCCACCACAAAATTGTACATTGGCTCCCGGCTGGCCTGGGCCAGGGTCAGGGCCAAGGCAGCAGGGGCCGTTCCCTCACTGTTTCCAGGATGGCTTCGTGGGCCACATGAAACCACTTCGCGGGCCGTACCCGGCCCCCGGGCCTTGTGTTTGACATGTCTGCTTTACAAGGACCAACAAGTAGCTCCAAGAATTTTCCAGGTTTTCTGTAATGATGTCACAGAAAAGTACAGATAGGGGAAGGTGTTGATGCAGAAGTAAAGCAGATCCAGATGTTTCAGCTATAAAGCCTGGCAATTCAAAGGCAGCCTCAAGGGAGAGAAGGCAGATTTAGTACATTGTAAAATGGGATTGTTGCCAACTTACATGAAGCATTTATAAAGAGAAAAAAAATGGTTGTTTCCCTTGCTCCGAACACTGAAGAGCCATCTTCACAATTGAAACTCTCAGATTCCTGGCCTGACAGGTAGAAGAAATAAAATGTGCAGGTATTTTCACTCCTTTCTTTCTTTCTTTTTTTTCCAGTGCCATCTCATTACTTCCAGCATTTGGATCACACAGGCAGGCGGGTGGATTACTATGACAGACCTGAATTATCAATGGGCTCCTATGAATACCTAGCTACCGTTGACTACTGCAAGGTATCTCCGCTTGCATTTATTATTTATTTTATTTACACTGAGACCGGTAGGCTAAATAACAAATTTTTGAAGAAAGTCAGCCTTCAGTGCTTTACTTTTAAGTTTCAGATGTTTCAGATATAGCAGATATGTTTGTCCCTTTTAAAAGTTTGTGTCAGAGCACAAACAAGCAGGCAGGAATTATATAGATGTCTGTAACAAATTGGTATTGTCAGGATTTAGGGCCAAGGAACAAAATCTAGAGAAAATGATAGAATATTTAGCCGTGGATTAAGGTTAGTTCACTGGTTAAGGTGGACTCTGAACAATATAAGTATCTTCTTGTTGAACTTTGTAGACTGATTATTAAGCTATCATTTACTAATGAACTCTTTCTTTATTTCTGGATTGTGTCCAACATTCTTTTGGTATTTTCTCAACTTTGTCACGACTTCTCAATTGTCTTTCCGGTCTGCATTCAAGTTAAATGGGCAGAGAGACCATCCATCCTTAACATTCATTACAATATAAGTAATTGTCTTCAAGGATTTAGGAGGATATACAGTAGATCCCTTCAGAGAGGCTGATTTTAATCAAATTATCGTAAGCCTCAGGTTCCAGATACAAGAGAACTAGCTACAACATACAAGAAACACAAAAGGTTGCTCTGATGAATTTGGATTAGCCTTTATATTGGGGAGATGTACTTCTATAACATTAGATCTGCAGAATCTAGAGGCCCACACTTTAAATAAAAATTAAGGTTTGCCAGGATAAAATGCAGTGTTTCTCCACTTTGGTAACTCTAAGATGCGTGGACTTCAACTCCCAGAATTACCCTGGTCACTATATTGGGGAATTGTGACAGTTGGTCCACAATATGTTAAAGTTGCCCAAGTTGATAAACACTGATATAATGCTAATAGTACTGGAAAACTGTAAGAATTGTATTTGTATTTGTTTAAGTCTAGGCAGAAATATTGTTAAAGCTTGTTTCTTTCAAGGCATAGATGATGGGGAAATGACTCAGTAGTGTGCGATGAATAATTGTGCTCGTGTTCCTTTCTTGCAGAATAACAAGTATCCCAACCCTCCTGCTTTTATTTTCATGATTGATGTGTCGTACAACGCAGTGCGGAGCGGCTTGGTCAGACTGGTATGTGAAGAACTGAAGACCCTCCTGGATTACCTCCCCAGGTACCTGCTCACATAAGACAGTGGCCACAAGGGAGATCCTTTGAAATTAGATTAATGCCCAAGCGAAATTTTTACAATAAATGTTGATTATAATCAACCTATTTCAGTGCTTACTTATGGAATTACCTCAGTAAAACAGTTCAATCAGTCTTTCAATCAAGTAATCTGTAAAATGAGCTTACTTATGGAATTACCTTAGTAAAACAGTTCAATCAGTCTTTCAATCAAGTAATCTGTAAAATGAGCTTACTTATGGAATTACCTCAGTAAAACAGTTCAATCAGTCTTTCAATCAAGTAATCTGTAAAATGAGGGGACTTCCCAGCTGCATCCTCAAACTTGGAATTTGGTCAGTAGATATTAGGGTACAATCTTCTGTTCATGCTGCCTTACTTCTGCTTTTCAGTTTGATTTTGCAAGCCCGTTTTTTACTATCTTTAACACCTTTTTTTTTTAACAGAGAAGGAACTATGGAAGAATCAGCCATCCGCGTGGGTTTTGTCACCTACAACAAAGTTCTACACTTCTATAATGTCAAGAGCTCCCTGGCACAGCCACAAATGATGGTTGTTTCAGATATAGCAGATATGTTTGTCCCTTTGCTTGATGGCTTTCTTGTGAAAGTGAGTGAGTCTCGCACAGTTTTTACCAGGTAAGCAAAACTCAGCCTATACCGGGGTAGGCCACCTTGCCTCTTTTATGACTCGTGGACTTCGAACTCCCAGAATTCCTGAGCCAGCCATGCTGAGGGGAAAGGGAGAGGTTTCCAAGCTGAGCCATGCTGGCTCAGGAATTCTGGGAGTTGAAGTCCACGAGTCATTAAAGAGCCAAGGTTGCCTACACCTGGCCTATACCATGAACATTAACAAAGTGATGCAGGTAGTCCCCGATCTCAGAATTTCCATTGCTAAGCAAGTCAGTTGCTAAGTGAATCATACTCATTTTTATATCTTTTTGCCATGATTTTTAAGCAAATCACTGCATTTGTTAAGTGACCGTACAGGCTTTAAGCAAATTCAGCTTCCCTGATTGACTTTGCTTACCAGATGCTGGCTTGGGAAGGTTGCAGATGGTGATCATATGAAAGGACCTGCCTCAATTACATCTCCCAAGAAAGCAGAACTCTTGAAACAGGCATTGTCTCAAAAGGATTTTTTTTTATTGAGAGTTAGTGATGGCAAGAGAGCAAAGCAAGGTCTGAGAGAGGGTATCTTGCACAGAGTAGAACGAAGCAGATAATAATAGGCAGAAGCAAAAGAGAGAGAAAAGGAAGGATTAAAGGCAAATACATTTGAGGGGCTCTGACATTCCCCCCCCCCAATAGAAAGACAAATCCACCTGAAAAACAAAACAGGAAGGGGGAAAAAATAGGTGTTTTTTTTTTTTCCTCAGAAGTTCTAATTGGCTTGAAAGCATTGACGCTCATTGATAAAAAAAATAACTTGTTGAGGTTTCTATAGCCTTTGACTTTGATTTTCCTCATTTTGCAGCCTGTTGGATCAGATCCCAGAAATGTTTGCTGATACAAGAGAAACAGAAACAGTGTTTGCTCCCGTGATTCAGGCTGGCATGGAAGCTCTAAAGGTTAGTTTTTATGCTCCTCAGCGCCTTAATTTGACTTGATTTTTCTCAGTCCCTTCCCTTTTTTTTTTTTTGAGTATTCTGTAAACATCTCAAGACAACAGCAGTCTATATCAAGTGCTGAATCCAATTTATTATGTGCTAACTGAACCATATAAAACGTTATATCATTTTAGGTAATATTTATCAGGCAGAAAAAAATCTGTAACGTGAATGCAAAGGATCTTGAGCAATGTAGATGAGTTAAGCGCTTCAAATGTTGATATTTGGATTTTTTTAATTATTATTTTTTTGTAGCACGTTGGGAATAAGATCAGTAGGTTAAGTGCCGGTTGTAAAAGATGGATCACTTGAAAAGATGAAGAGCTACATTTACTTTTCATTCTTTTACATTTTAATATAAATGGTGGCACGGAGAAGGGGCTTATAAGACTCTTGAGGACAAAAGAGTCTCCAATGGTCATTTCAAGGACCTTTCCATGTTTGTTTACAGGCTGCCGACTGTGCTGGCAAGCTTTTCATATTTCACACATCGCTGCCTATCGCAGAGGCTCCAGGGAAGCTGAAGAACAGAGATGACAAGAAACTGATGAATACCGATAAAGAAAAGGTAAAAAGGATCGTATTCCAACAGAAGTAGGCTAAGGCAGGAAGTCTGGTTATGATTTCTTATGTCTCCTTAATTGCTTTGTGCCTCCCCCACCCCACCTCAACTCTTCCCACTGCTATGATCTGTCCCATCATCCCAACCTGATTGTTTATTATCACCTTTAGAAATCACTCATCTCCCTCACAGAGGGAATTTGGGTGGTGTACAAACAAATGAAAAAAAAACATAAAATCTGAATATAAAAAATTAAAATTGCAGGCAAGGATAGTTAAAATTGGATATTGGATAATTCAAAGGAGAGAGAGGGGGTCTTCAGATTGCTAACCAGCCCCACGGCTGCATGCTCCTCTATTGAGCCCAAGCGAGGTGGCAGAGCCAGGTCTTCAAATGTTTTTGAAAGGCCAAGAGAGTGGGGGGCCTCTTCATCTCAGAGTTGAGGGGGGGGGAGAATGTTCCAAAGAGAACCAATGTATGGCTGTGAAAGTTGGACCATAAGAAAGGTTGAGCCCAAAAGAATTGAGGCCTTTGAACTCTGGTGCTGGAGAAGACTCCTGCGAGCCCCCTGGACTGCAAGGCGATCAAACCGATCGGTCCTAGAGGAGATCAACCCTGACTGCTCTTTAGAAGGCCAGATCCTGAAGTTGAAACTCAGGATCTTTGGCCACCTAATGAGAAGGAAGGACTCACTGGAGGAGAGCCTAATGCTGGGAAAGATTGAGGGCAATAGAAGAAGGGGACAACAGAGAATGAGGTGGCTGGAGGGAGTCACTGAAGCAGTAGGCGTGAGCTTAAATGGACTCCAGAAGACGGTAGAGGACAGGACGGCCTGGAGGAACGTTGTCCATGGGGGTCGTGATGGGTCGGACACGACTTCACAACTAACAACAACAACAACCCCCACCATAACATGAAGAAAAATAAAATTTGCTCCTCCTCTGAATGAAATTCCTGAGACAGGAAAAGCTTAGAACTTTTTCATTCCTTCAGCTGTCATAGCCAAATTAAAGAAACCTAATCTGATGGCCAAATACAAATCATGGATTGAACGCCAAAGAAGTGAAATTATAATGTAAATATTCAGAAGACCAACTAAAGGCCTTCATTTTCAAAGCAAATACATGCATCCTTTTGATCTGCAGTCCTTTAAATATTAGGTTGAGATCTGCTCTCTGAAAGCTCATCCGGTTCCTTTTTTCAATCATGTTCTTTTTTATTGTGCTTTCTGCAAATAATCTAGTTGCCCAAGACTTGAGCTTAGTAAATCAGAATGACACAGTTTGAAACAGTATTTTATTCAGATTTCAGCACTGCATTTTTTTCTTAAAAGGGGATGCCAGGTAGGATTAAAATAACAATAAATTAGTAGTTTGATGGCATCTCCACTGTAACCCCCTCTTCCGCTTTTTTTGCCTAGAGATCGTTCTACCTAAATCTTTTCAGGAAAAAAATAAGAAATGCTAAGCTTTTGTTATTGGGAGATAATTGTGGCTTCCTTATCCATTAAAGAAACAAAAATTCTAGAACAAAGTACTCTTATTAGAAAAAATGAAATCTTTTTGCAAGGTTTTGTTAAGAAATTTCAAAAAATGAGATTGTTGATGCAAGTTGTAATTCGCAGATTATGTTATTATATTTAAATCTAATTCAACCAGCTATATGGTAACGTTGAAATGTAAGACTCTTCTTTATTTATTTATTTTGTATACCACCTTTATTTTTGCACATAACTCAATTCAAATGTATCTAACACACCTTCCTCCTCCTATTTTCCCCACAACAATAACAATCCTGTGAGGTGGATTGAGTTGAGAGAGAGGGACTGGCCCAAAGTCACGCAGCCAGCTTTCCATGCCTAAGGCGAGACTAGAACTCAAGTCTCCTGCTTTCTACCCTAGTGCCTTAAGCAGTAGACAAGGGGTAGGCAACCGTGGCTCTTTTATGACTCGTGAACTTCAACTCCCAGAATTCCTGAGCCAGCCATGCTGAGGGGAAAGGGAGAGGTTTCCATGCTGAGCCATGCTGGCTCAGGAATTCTGGGAGTTGAAGTCCATGAGTTATGAAGGGGCCATAGTTCCCCCATGCTGGCTGAGGAATTCTGGAAGTTGAAGTCCACAAGTCATGAAGGGGCCAAAGTTTCCCTCATGCTAGCTCAGGAATTCTGGGAGTTGAAGTCCACGAGTCATAAAAGAGCCAAGGTTGCCTACCCCTGGCCTAGACGAAACTGCCTCTCATAGACAGGAAATAATATACTACCTAATTGGTTTTACTTTTATTTTTGGTGGCATGTTTAGGACAAAGGACATATAGAGATAATTCTGAGCTGGGATTTTTGGCATGGTTCAATATATTTATCCTGTTTCCTGCCTTCTCTGCTTATTCGTTTTCTCTGCTTTAGACTCTGTTTCAACCTCAAACCAATTTCTACAACAACCTAGCCAAGGATTGTGTGGCCCAAGGGTGCTGCGTGGATCTTTTCCTTTTCCCAAATCAGTATTTGGATGTAGCTACCTTGGGGGTCGTTCCGTATCAGACTGGTGGCTCCATTTATAAATACACATATTTTCAGGTATGGTTTGTCTTGGCTTTAACACCTGTTCATTTATATTACTTTATAGCTGCTGTTATAGTCTCAAAGGTGAGAGCACAAGTAATAAAACTATTTCAGGAGCCAGTTTTACTAGCAGTAGCTCAGGTTAGTTCAACCGGAGTCAATATACACTTTAAAAAGTAAACAGCAATGAAGCTGATTATTTTTCACCGCATAATTTTGAATTCAGATGGATTTCTGTTGATTTAGGTGGTTTAAGGCACCTTGCGGTGAACAAAATAAAAGTTCTGGACTTGTAGACTGTGGTATATACTGCAGATTATTCTTTTTTTAAAGCAACAGCAACGTGTTCTCTGAATCTCTAAGTGATTTAGAGTTTAGATCCTGCATAAACTGGAAGTACACGGCAATGGTCTTATTTGGCATGCTGTTCAGCCTCTGTTAGAAATCACCTGTGCATCCACCATGTGAAGCATGTTGACTGTGTATTTTAGGTGGAAACAGATCAGGAACGCTTCTTGAATGATTTACGTAGAGATGTTCAAAAAGAAGTTGGATTTGATGCGGTGATGAGAGTGCGTACTAGCACAGGTGAGCACATATCTATATATCTATTGTTGTTGTTGTTAGTTGCGAAGTTGTGTCCGACCCATCGCGACCCCATGGACAACGTTCCTCCAGGCCTTCCTGTCCTCTACCATCTTCTGGAGTCCATTGAAGCTCACGCCTGCTGCTTCAGTGGCTCCATCCAGCCACCTCATTCTCTGTCGTCCCCTTCTTCTATTGCCCTCCATCTTTCCCAGCATTAGGCTCTTCTCCAGGGAGTCCTTCCTTCTCATTAGGTGGCCAAAGTACTTGAGTTTCAAGAATCCAGATGCACAAGGGGTATTAAAACCTAACAGGTCCAGCATTTGTCTGCTAAATGCTGAGGAATGATCATATTAAATGCCAAACTAAAGTCAACAAACAGCATTCGCACATGAGCATTTCTTTCCTTCAAGTCTGCCAAGCTCAGTTGGAGGAAATAG